AGAGAGAGAGAGAGAGAGGTGATTACGTCATCATCACTGAGCTACGTCATTAATTTTTTTCGTTTATCGACTTCATTCCAGAGAGATTTAAAATTCAGAATACTTATATGGCAATATTTTTCATGTGACAGCTACACCTGAGTCAGATTTTATTAGATTCTCAATAATTACTTGTTTGCGTGTTCTTGTTATCAACTGATTTTTTTGATTCTGCTTTCGTGATTGATGTCACAAATGAGATCTTAATAAGAGCTCACAAAGACGATATTATCCATTTCGTCATTTCGAATAAATAAATTTTCCTGCAAATTTCTTTTTTATTTGCGAATATTCTTTTAGCTTCTGTATCTTACTACTTTATCGTATCATGCTATTTTATGAGCCTCAGCTTATCTCGGATATTACATTAATCCCGGATTCAGATGGATTAGTGACCTCTACTTAACATAAATGTTTCATTATATTTAATCAGTGGAATACTCGAGATCTCTACACAAGTGTTCAACAAAAAGATTTTCAGTACTCATGTAATTTTTATTAATTAAAGGATACATAAGTACCTACTTGCGAACGTTTATTTCGAAATATTCTGAAATTTCATTTTCTATTTTCTATAATAAATTGTTATTGTGAAACAGAGAGATAACCAATTATCGAGGTCAAAGAAGAAAGTTATGGTACCGTATTCAACATCAAGAGCAATAAATTGTGGCAACGATAGCTCATAAAGCGCGGCGCGTTTATCTAATATCTACATTATGTCCCCACGCGTGTTATGCCGTTATCGTCTTTGCACATTGAGCGTTAAGCTTCAGGACGGAACAGGGCGGACTACGTACGCGCCATCCGAGAATGCCCAGAGGGTACGACGCTCATGGTAAAGCAATAAAGTGCGATAAACTGTGCAAGACCCTACTCACGGTCGTGCTATTAGCAATGCAATTATTGTCCGTTCTCTAGCAGCCAGTAGACGCATTCACGACGTCCGATCTCTCTCTCTCTCTCTCTCTCTCTCTCTCTCTCTCTCTCTCTCTCTCTCTGTCTCTCTCTCTCTCTCTCTTTCTCTGCAGCGTGATTAGTAATACAATTATCTGTTTTCGCGGTTCCTTCCTTCGACATTGCACGCTCTCTGTACTCGCGCGAGTAATTCGAATAGCGACAACTGTATAACGTAACTTATAACTACAAGTATCCTTCGAGCGACGCGCTGTTATTGAATCCGCACGTTCAGGCTCATAATTGTTAAAACGCGCGAGTTATGCGCGCACCACGTTGAAATCCCTGGTGGGCACGTGGCCACGAGTTAACGTCACAGAGTGCGATAAACTGGATAACGCAATTGCTGGTCCGCACAATTCCATCTACCAATCTGCGCCGCGATCCCGCCGCGATCTCACCGAGTTGCGCTCGTATAAATATTTGGTTGAACGAAGAGCGACGATGATCGCACGGCGCGTATAGACTTATTAAAACCGTACGCGTTTTTTACGGATTAATCTAATCGGCTTGAGAGCGATCAGACATTCGATGCGCCGCGAGTAACGTTTAAAAATAAATCAGTCGAATTAAATTTTAAATTACAATAAAAATATTACGTACGTGCGATTATACCAACATAACATCATAACATCGTGCTCGTAACATACCCTCGATATAAAACTATCTCCTCATTTCACTTAATCGTGAAACATTTACCGTAACTATATTGGAGACAATCATGATAATCCTATTTTTCGTATATATTTCTTGCAATTAGTATATTAACGTTTTCTGTTAACACACCACACACCACATTTCTAATAAAAACCGTCTCATAATAGCGCTCCGGTATGAAAAATCGAATTCAAAAGAGCTTCCTCGAAACACACCTAGAAATCCATTAAGGCGTATGTATTTAGTGGCCACGCGAGCGATGCGTCGCCACGAAGGGAACAAGAAAGCAGGGACACACCGTAGGGAAAACACAAGAGGTACATCGATGCAAACAGCGGATTAGCCGGGGGGATTTATATAACGGGGAAAGCTATCTCCCGTAAAGCTCGGGCGGAAGGCTTTTTGCTCTCGACCTCGGCGCTTCTTAAATATTGTAGAGATTAATCAACTCTCTCTCAGCCCTTCGCGGAGCGGGACGCGAACGGCAAGCAGCTCCAACCCCAAGCTGCGAGGAGAGAACGTCCGTCAGCAGGGCGGACAGCCGGGTTTGGGGGTATGCAGTGAGCGCCGAGGGTGGAAGGCGCGTTTGCAGGCGGGTGTAAGAGCAGTGGCTCGAAAATTATGCGCACACACGGCACGTCTATGAAATATGCACTGGTTGCTAACGATACGCGACGGTCTTCTTCGGCGTGGAATCCGACACGGAATTAAAAGGGGATCTCCCGTTGTTGTTGCTACTGCTCGGAGAAGAACGTGTCTGTGAGAGGCTTAAAGGCTGCACCGGCAAAGCTTCACGCGGTTAATTTCTTAGGGGAATTTTGTCTCGTTCGGTGCTCACTGAGAGAGTACGCGGACATTATTATTAGAGATGTTTGCGAAGCAAACCTGTTCTGTCGATTATGCAGTAAATTTAAAAGGTAAACTTTCGATAAATTTAGATAAGCTTTTATGAGATTATATATTTATGGAAACTCTACATTTTTTTAGATCATAATAATAATTTATGTTAAAATTTTAACTAACAGAAAAAAATTGGTTTTTTTTCTTTTTTTTTTTTTATGTACATAAAGCGATCTCTTTTGAAGCAAATTTCATTAATAATTTCAATAATTATTTGATATTAGCGATAAATCGATTAATTAGGCCATGCAATTATGTTAAATTTTATGAGAATTTTAGGAAAAATATTTACAACGTAATTGAAATTCAAATAATCCAATTTGCGATTAAATTTGTGTGTTCAATAGTCTATTTACAATTTTTTGTACGCGATGTTTGCGACTAATACACGTTAATAGCGTATATGTTCTCGTACACTCCTGCATCCTTATAATCCTTCGTAGCATTTATTTTTAACAACGCAACGAAGTTTACGCTAATTAATCGCGCTTCGTCTCAGCTTTGTGCTTAAAATCCCGTCGCGTCCCATCCTATATGAATTTTCTTTCTGAAAAACAACGATAGGCTGTTATTCCCTTAATGCCAGTAGCATAATAGGTTAAATACAGGTATAATTCAGGCGAGTCAGAAGGATTGCGAACTAAGGGCGTACTCCACGTTCTTTGTATCCGTGTATATTGCGCCGCAATGCACCATAGAATAGCCACGGCGGCCCCGCAGCACTAGTCATGATTATAAATTGCACGGAACAGCTTTCGAGCTATTCATTTTGCCTTGTCAGCAATTAGCCTCCGCGTAACTCGAATGATTTTGACAGGCATAGCATGAGATACCTCCCGCGAGGCGGAATGACCGATATTACGAGAGGTAATATTATTAAGCGGCAGATAAAAGTTGTGAGAAAAAGTACATTTAATTTTGATGAGAACACAATGTGTTTAATATATGTTAAATGTAAAAGATAGTTGAAAAGATATTTCTCCCACCATTTCATCTTTGTGAAGATAATATTAACTTCGCGTGCTTAGAATAAATGGAGCTAATAATTTAGGAGATATAACCCCTGTAATAAATTTTATGCATCTACAGATAGGAGGATGCTACGTGCATCCCAATGAGATATAAATGCATATGCATCACCACACGTTCGTAATATTAATATTTCTCTAACAAAAAAAAAAAAAGAAGATCAGGATTACACGCTATACGTTTCCAAATGTTCCCGATTTTCTTCTTCTTGGCGACCTGCTCTATAAATGTGAACGAACAAATGTCTCATATTGGATGTAATACTAATTATTACACGCGCGAGCAATTAACGCGCAACGACGGCTGCACGTATTCCGTAACTTGGAATTTTCCGACGACATTGTTACACT